CCCCAAAACCCCAAAACCCCTTAAGAGTAATAATAAATAAAAATAGAAAATCGCTATATTTTCAAAAAAATCAGTTTAATCATATATTTTTACCAATCAATCGCTATTATCATCAGCACTCAATTCATCATCATCATCTGATAAATCACTACCATCATTACTTTCAGATTCCTTTTCCTTTTTCTTTAATTCTGCAGACTCTTTCCTCATCTAATTAAGAGTGTTAAGATATCCTTCCTCAATTTTCCGCCCCTTCTCATTATACTACATAGATATTTCACCTTCTAAATTTTTCCTACTCCTCATTGCTTCTTTCTATCGCATTTTATACTCAGCTCGGCGCTTTCTTTTCAGCCTCGAATATTGTATCTTCCTCATTTTCTCTTCCATAATTTCTTTTTCCTTTTGCAGTTTCACTTATTTCCTCTCTTCCTTTTTTTCTCTTTTCTTCTTATTTATAGCAATTTGTAGTTTTCTCTAAAACTGCTCTTCATCAGTTAGAGCTTATCTTTATTACTTTTACAGTTATAGCTATGCAGCCGATGGTTAGTAAGATAACTTATTCGATAAATTACGATCCTTGTGCCTCTACTTTTCCTCCTTCATTCGCATTTCTTCTTCCCTTTACTTTATAGAATTCAAAATATTTCCAACCACAGGAGCTTATGAGTTCTAAAGTAGTCTTTCTCTAAAACTTAGAGGCATTTCCTCAACTTTTTATGGTGGCGGTTCCCTTTTTTTCTTAACACTGAGTTCGCTAAGTTCTGTTTCTTAATTTGTTGCTTAAGTCTTTTCCTCTGGGTTTTATAAAGCTAAATTGTCTTATTCCTGATCTTCATCTTTTTATTCTTCTATACCAAGTATCTGGTTGAATATTTCCTTTTTTCTCTCTTTCACACTATTCATAAATTCATTATTATCATATTCATGGACAGTAGCAGCTATAGGAGCAACTTATTTAGGTTTGTGATACATATCTCTCAAGATTGAACCTGAATTTATTTGGTCTTTTAGAGTAGGCTAAGGCCCAAAGTCATTGTTTGATGGTTAATAGGCAGATCTATCGAATTCTATATTAGCTGCAAATTTGTGAAACATCTCTTTAACATCTTTGCTAAACTAGATCTATTCTCGAGTTCTGTCAGGCTTCAATTTGACTGAAGATTTTTCTTTCTTCTCCTTATGCTTATCAGACTTCTTGTCTTTTTTATGCTTTTTCTTATCCTTTTTACTCTTCTTTTTCTTGTCCTTATTCTTTTTGTGCTTTTTCTTACGATCATCATCTGAAGATGATTCACCCGAACTATTCTTGCCCATCTGAATAATAGTTACTTTAATAATTAATGAATTCGATAAGTTTTCTTATTTTACAAACTCTACTTTAATTTCGAATATTTTTTTGTGGGGTTTTGGGGTTTTGGGG